GGGAGCATGCAGGCAGCTCCCTGAGAACGCGCTAAAGCACCCCAAACGGTGGACGATGCCGTGTCACTGCAACTGGGAGGGGGGCAAACCAGATTTCTTCTTTTTTTTACATAAAAGCCAGCCAGCCAAAAATACATAATTTTGCCCTCCACGGAGCCGGTGTGTAAAGAGTGAGCGCTATTTCCCTTCTTCTCCGCCTCTCCCTCCGCCTCCTCTCCTCCCCCTCCTCGTTTTCCTCCTCCTCCTCCTCCCTAAGTGTACAGACAGCATCACATCACCTGGTTTGCTTCTGAGAAACGGCATCTCTCCTTTTCAGGGACCAGAGACTCAGAGAGAGAGGAGACATTCTAATGGAGTCGGCTTGATACCCCAAAATAAAATAATAAATTTTGGCTCTTGTCCCCTCCTCCCACCCCACCCCCTCAACCCTGTGTGAGATGTTAGGTTTCTTCTTCATGAGACATTGAGGAGTCGCAGTGGTTGGAAAGGCGTAGGGGGTAGGCTACCTCTACACCCCCTCGCCCCCCTTTTTTCTCTCTGGGAGGAGGAGGAGGAGGGGAAGGGGGCTTGCAGAGCAAGCGATGGATGAGGAAAACATGACGAAAAGCGAGGAGCAGCAGCCTCTGAGTTTGCAAAAAGCCTTACAGCAGTGCGAGTTGGTCCAAAACATGATAGACCTGAGTATCTCCAACCTGGAAGGGCTTAGGACCAAATGTGCTACCTCCAACGACCTCACACAAAAAGAAATCCGGACCCTGGAGGTAGGTGTTGCTCACGGGGGGCGGGCGGGGGGGGGGTGTTTGCAATCCTTCCTCCCCTCCCTTCTCTCCCCACCACCCCCTTTCCTTTGATTCTGTTTGTTGCGGGGTGGGGGCGGGAGGGTAGCGAGCGGGGCACGATGTGGTTTTCCGTGATTTATCTTCTTGCAAAGCCTGCAAAGGATGTCCCTTTACTGTACCGCTGTCGTCTACGCTTGGCTGGGTGGTGGTAGTAGTAGTAGTAATTGTTATTCTTTCTTTATTATTATTTTTGCGGCCGTTATTATCACTCGCTTCCTCTCTGAGGAGTGAGTTCTCTGTCTTTTCCGCTTGTGGATTTGTTTATATGCCACGGGGGCTTGTGTGCTGGGTAAGACATTAAGGCGCTGCAGAGAACCCACGTGATCCTGCGCATTCTGCAGGTGGTCAAAAGGTGGCTTTTGCTCGCAGAATGGGGTTGCCTAGAAATATGGACCTCTTCTTCTCTCCGCCTCCGTCCCAGCCCCCCTTTTGCTCCTTGGATTTTTTTTGGTTTGTTTTGTTTGTTTTTCAGGGATATACATGTCAGGAGGCAAGATGCATTAAAAAATATCCCCATTGAGCTACCCATTTTCAATCGAATTACTTTGATGCAGGGAGCTGTTGCAGGCCTAAAATGTGTAAAAAAAGATTTTGAAAAATATGCCCGGATCAGCACACAAGTGGTGTGGGAAAATACTCTTGAATCTCGGTGGGACCCTGAGGAAAGGTGGAGATGGAGGCGTTCCCTTTGGCTGTTGTAACATGCTCTCCAACAGAACTTGAGGGGGAGTTCGAAGCACTTTGGTGGGGGGTGGGGTAGGGTGGATGCAAAGTTGCTCAGAAAGAAGATGGCAGCAATTATTTCTTCCGAAGGCCACTGGGTCAAAGGAGGAAGGTTTCAGGAGCCCTAGGCTATGCCTGGTGTCCACAGAATCACGGCATCCAGGTCGTTTGAGACATCCGAAGGGCTGGGCTCACTTCCCTCCCTCAGACTGGCCCCGCTGGCCACATGGCTTGATTAGATTTGGGGACTCCCAGTAGCTGGCAGTCCCTGCGTTTCCAAGGCCTGAACTCTTCAGTCCTTAATTGAATCTTTTAGCCCTTTGGTGGCCCGGACCTCCTCCCACCCCGGTATAGTCTGGATGACCACCTCTCTCGGATTCACTTTCAAGTCTTTCTTTTTTCTCCGTGGTTTTGAATTTGGCTGGATGTCAGCAGGCAGAAAGGTCATCATTTTGAAAGTGAGTGTGTGTGTGTGTGTGTGTTTTGAATATCCTGTTTTCTACCCTGGAAATACATGGCTCTGTGCACCTGTCATCGGGGAAAATGATCCTTAGAAATGAAATAAGATGAATGTCAGGGGGGATCAGAGGAGTGGAAATTCTGTTGGGAGGCACAGGTATTTTCTTTCTCGGAGCTTTGGGAGAACGGTCTGGGCTAGGATTCTGCTGCTGGAAGGAAAAGTGTGGGATGCCCTGACCCAGCCTTCGGTCTGAGCAGCGCCCAAGGTATGATTCTCTTCAGAGCTGCATGCAGTAAATAAACAAATAAACCACAGGGCCACCTGCCGTGTCTTCTGCTGCTCTGAGCCGGAACCCCACGCTAGTTTGTGTAAGTTTCTCCAGTCGTCTCGTCCTCTGTTCACGTGCTCTATCCTCCGATAACTCCCTGGACAGTGGCGGTGGTCGCAGTGGGCCCTGGGTTCTGTTGCTGCTTTACTGCCGCGTGGTCTTCTTTTTACATTGGGGGATGAGACACTGGCGTGGTGGGATGTTACAGTGATTGAGATCGCATCTGTTCGTTCGTTTCCTGGTCCCAATATGCCTCAGGGCATGCCAATCGCTTTATCCATATTGTCCATGGAAGGGTCTCAAGTTCCCAGATCTTTAGGGCTGAAGTGGGGCCACTGGGGAGGGGCTGGTGACTCGGGGTCTAGCCAAGTCCTGCCAAATCCCAGGCATGCTTGGAACCCACAGGGTTTTTATATCCCAACAGTTCTCAAATTTTGTATATCGAAACCACCCAGGGAGCTTGTTTAAAATGCACATTCCCATCCTCTAACCCCAGAGAGTCTAATTCAGTTGGGATTGGAGGGGGCCCAGGAACCTGCATTTAACAAACAGTTCAGATGTTTCTGAGGTATGTTTTCATATTGATACTTTGAGAAATACTAACCTGTTAGGAGATAGATACACATCTCTCAGCTATTAGATGGCGACAACTTCCTGTTCCCAAACACTAAAGTATTAAATCGAACCGATTATCCCCGAAAACCTTGATAATAAGCAAAATTTACTAACATGCCTGTAACCCTGTAGAAACAAAAATGTACAGCAAAGGCTTAGCCTTCAGAAAGTGTACTTCGTGGCTAGGGAGGCAAGGCTAATAATCTACATGTGAAATAATGATTAAGTCCAAACAGTAAGTAATATGGGGAAAAGCCTATGGGTCCATTAGGAATGGGTTCAGCTGCACTAAATGGAAAATCCAGCCACAGTGGTTAATCAAGTAATGGCTCCTTTTTCTTATGTAACAAGAAGTCTGGAGGTATGTCCTTGGCTCAGTAAGTTAATATCAGAGCTGATGTCTTTGCAACTACTCATGGTTGCAAGATGGCCTCTGAAGCTTCAGCCATTACACCAAGTTCAAGGCAGGAAGGAGGGGAACTGGGGGAGGGTCAAGGCATAACTGGTCCGTATCTCTGTTCGGCTCTCCCAGGACATCTCCTCCTCCCTACCCCCACAGATGATGTATAATTATGTCTTCTTGTCCAGAACTGGGTCAAATACTTGTCCTGGTTGCAACACCACTGTGATTGGCTTGGTGGGTCACAATCCATTGCCTTGGTTGACCTGTTGCCTCTTCATACAAACCAGGGTTCAGCTAGCATGGAGGAAGGCAGGGAGGGATATCGGGTGGATAGCCAGTACGTCAGTCACAGTGTGTCCTAGGGACAGACTTGGGCGGAGGAGAAAGATCATGAGCTTTGGAGTTAGACTGATGTAGTTTCGAATTCTAGCTTTTCTACTTGCTTTATCTTGGGCCAGTGATTTTAAATTTTCTGACCCATGGTTTAATGTTTGGCAAAATGGCAGTGATAGAAGAACACACCTACCTCAGAGGTGGTCGTGAGGATTAAAAGAGATGACTTTTTCAAGGGTCTCATGCGGCCTCTAGCACAGTGTCTGCAGGTGCTAAGTGGATGATAGCTATCGTGATTAGCATTACATGTGTGGAACAGAAGACATGGACGGGAACACCTCAGATGGGAGAGAGAAGGAAGAGCTTGAGCAGCATCCCTAAAGAATGTTCTGTGGATTCCTAGTTCTGTGGAATGTTGTTGTTTTTCATTCTTTCAACCAATGCTGAAACCCAGGCACTGTACTAGATGCTGGTAGTCAACAAATGTTCTGTAGACAAAACGTATCCTATGGTTCATATGTTTGGGAACGGTTGAGTTAAGCAAAGGGAAATAGGTGTCTTTACTGCAAGACTTCTCAGAGCCTTTAACGTTCCAGATACGTATATTGTGACTCAAAGGAGTAGAGTCTGTAGTTTCCTTTTTCCAGAGCCATCTCTCGGGACTGATGTTCCATAGAATCCACCTGGGGAAACATTTGGCAAAGCAGGGAAGCTATCCTGGTCGGGGACCTGGGGACCCTGAGTGGAGTGAGGAATGGGGAGGGTTTAGATTGCAATAGGTGGCTTGCTGGTCAAGAAGAACAAACCCAATGAAGACACAAAATGGATAATTACCTGATAGAGTGTCATTGGAAACGAATTTAGGTTGCTGACTCCTGGGATCTGACGTCGCACCAAGTTTCATCCCCTTGCGGGAGGAGACAAAAGTCTTCAAAAGTTTGGGACTGAATACAGTAAAAAAGATGATTAAAGGTTAGTCTGATGGCAGCCTGTAGCAGGGGCCGTCAGATAGTGAAGAGTTAAGGCTTTGTGGCCATGTGGTTTCCATCACAACCACTCAGCTCTGCTTTTGCAGCACACAGCGGCCATGGACAATACATAAGTGAACATTTTCCAATAAAACTATTCGTAGACCCTGAAATTCAAATTTGATATAATTTTCACGTTACAAAGTATTGTTTTCTTACTGATATTTTTTCTAACCATAACCATAACCATAACCATAACCCACAAGATAGCTTGCAGATCCATGGTCTGCAAGGTGAATGGGACAGAAAAGACCCTGGAGGCACACAGACCATCTGAAAGGCAGGCAGGTGATGCTAGGGATGGCGGCCGCTGGCCAAGTGCAGGTGGTTGTGACCTGGGTTCTATTTTGGTTAGATTAGAAGGGGAGGCAAACACCAGGGATTGGGTTGGGGGTGGATACATACAGAATCTCCTTACATAGCAAGGACAATGTAGCCATACACATATCAATTGTTTGGTCTTCATATGTTCAGTCTCTATGATTGATTGTGGTGTCACAGACCATCCTTAGACTTAATCATGTTTAGAAAACTTTGGACTTCAGACAACAAGTTGTTATTTTCCATGATTCCGGGCACTGGGGTTGGGTGGGTGGTGCTTCTGCTGTTCTTGCCCGGGCTCCCTCATGTGACCACATCAGCTGGCGGATTGGCTGGTGGCTGAGACAGCTGAGCCTCTCTCTCCATGTGGCCTCTCCAGTGGGATAGCCTGTGTTTCTTACATGTCTCCAGTGTTCCAAGAGGGCAAGAGCGAAAGTTGCAAGGTATCTTAAGATTTGTTGTTTTCTGATCGGTGACTGTCAGTGGCTAGTCTGGATTTCGATGATGGTGAAATAGACTCCTCCTCTTGGTGGGAGGAGCTGCAGAGCATCTGTGGCCATATTTAATTTACAACAGGTGTCATTATGTAGTGAGCCCAACTCTGTTTTAGGCTCTGGAAATCGAACAAGACAGGTGAGGCCCCTGCTCTCACGGTGCTTTCATTCATGTGCGACTGTCAAGGTGGGGTAGAGCCAGACAGACAATAAGCAA